CTAACGATGATGTGATGTGGTGTGGAATCAATTGGACCATACATGAACAAGGCCGTGTCTGTTTCCTGTGTATATCTCATTGCGTTCTTCGTCATAGAAAAGAGCGGTTATGTCTTCCAAAGCTTCAGCTACCGCGTTTCTTTGTTGCTTTGAGTTCTTCGTCTTACCCAAACAACTGCTACTGCTCTCTTCTTCTTTTGGAGGTCCACTGCTCGGTGTTATCTTAGCTAAGCATTTCCCAGTCAATATATTGCTGATATTGATTGATCCCGCTGCACCATCATAAAAACCAATCAGTGAGATCTATTAGTTTAAAGAGTATGAATCTTTATGGGGCTTTGTTATATTTACCATTTCCTTCTATCCACTGATCTTCCGTATCTGCTTTGCAATACGAGATGATCAGATCTTGATCGCTTGTTATGTAGATATTATTTGTGTTACAGTCCGGATGCCATAGAAGATGGTCCTCAAAGGAAGTCACAAGCTCTCCACGAAAATTCCACACAGAAACGTTTCGATTCCTGAATGTTAAAAACAGCTGGTTCTCATACAGAAATATGAACGCAGACGGTGTCATGAACTCAGCTCTACTAACTTCCATTAGCTCAGCGTTTCTGACCTGTGTACAAATCAGAAACAAACCTTTATAGGAAACCATGTAAAACAAAAGCTCATAGATTTTGATTGAATCAGATGAAAACCAACTCACATCAAGAATTTGGAGATTCTCATTCTCTTGCTTTACAAGAAGTTTCTCATTGAATTGTTCAATGAAATCAACTTTCTTGTTTCTGTGAAGCAAGTGATTGAAGGACTTGAGAACTGTGCCATCTTCTATCGATAGAATCTTCAAAGGAACATGACTAGTAGCTCTCTTGTAAATCAATAACATTATCCCTGGACTGATACAGGTAAGGAAACAACAGTTTTAGCTAAATCACAAGTTTGCTCAATTATTTGCAAACAAGAAGCACAAAAGGGACATAAGACAGATAGAAAAAGGTTACCTGATCTTAATTTCTTGGACATTTTTATCTGATATGGAATATAGCATGGTATAGTTTTTCAGATCAAAAACCTTGTACACACTGCAGAAACAGCTATTGTTGCTCAGTGGAAGAAACTTGTTGTCACAAAATTTAGGTAGCCAAGACGAGAAAACAACCTGTCTTGCGCAGAATACGTAAGCACCTTTCCATTGACATCATCAAACTCTACAAAACCAGGCCACTTTAATGATTCAGACTCAAAAAGAGCAAACCCTGCATCTGGCTGACCTCTCAGAATATACCTAATAACAACAAAGACACATTAGTTCGAATAACCCACGAAAATAGAGGTCGAAATGGGAGGACAACATACTCAATTCTAGTGGATCTGCATTTCAAAGAACTGAAATTATCTGAAGCATAAACCGAAACTGTGATGAGAGAATCATTGTTCTTGTTGTAGAACAAGCTCCTGATAACTTCATCTGGACTAACATTTAAAAAGCAAATTCTTCTGTTCGTTTCTGCAATGCAATCATTAAGACTCCAAAATGTAAATCTTCTCAAGTCAAAGACACAACAAAGCTGAAAGTAATGTTGCATAGTAGTCCAGTTAAGCTTAAGTACCTCTACTGAAAGCTGCACAGACACCAGAATGAGCAAGCGCAAAGACAATGTCTCTTGCAGCAACAATCTCAATAACTTTAGTTCTTTTCATCAAAAACGGTAATGCAACTAAACAATGTCCTTTGGGGTCGTGAGTATCATATTGCTCCTGAATCCCAAAATTGAAGACCTTAATTAGTACTGAATCAAGCGAAGCAATTTCTAGGGTTTGAGAGAGGGAGATTCTCTAAATCAGACAAAATTAGGGTAAAATTACAGATCAAAAGACATACCACGAGACGCATGTTGCGAAATCTCTCCTGGGCAGTGCTAATAGAGAAAGCTCGATCCTTACGAGACGAGATTTCTCTTCGTTGAAGCTTTTTGACGCTATTGACAAACCCATCAGGTCGAGACCTTTTTTTCGCCACAACTCTTCTTCCACTACAAGGTCTAGGGCTAGCTGTAATCCTTCTTCCTTCCATCTATTGTTCCTCCTTTTAAGCCCCCAATAATTTTTTTGGAAAACCCTAAACGGTGAGGAAGGAAGAAGCGGCGAAGTATAGAAGGAAACCCT